AATCTGCCCCTTTTAAATAATATAATAAAGAACAACATTGTGTTCTATGCTGTTGGGTGGATAGTGTTTGTTCCCTTAATTTTATGGTGAGTTGCTCTTGTTTGCACTAGCAAGATGCTTACAGTGCTCTGCATAACTCTGCAGGTCCATCACTCTTCTCCTGCAGACTGACACCATTTTATTTCCTTTTTCTAATTCCTGACTGGGAAATAACAAGACAAAAGATGATGTCATTATTACAATAATGCTAATAACATCTTTATTGCCATTGGCAGTAAAGTTTAATCATAAAGCAGGCTCAGAATTCTGCAGAGACCTATTTACATGCCAATATATGAGTAATTCCATCCAGTTCAGTGTAGTAATTTAGAGATGGTTGCTGCCCAGGTGGTTGAAGAAATCAAAATAAAAGATTTGATAACTGTGGTCGATATGCGCACATTTTCTCCTGAATATTATTTTTTTCCCATGAAAAATTTGGTAAGAGTGAGGAACTGTTTATTTTACCTGGGGTTTCCAGCCCTATGATACGGCCCTTTGGCATACATGAGCACAATTTTGCAAGTGCCAGATATTCTACCTGGCAGACCTGTATGTTCACAGTGTACACACATTCACAGAAAGGCCCTCCCATTCCCTGTGCACACTCACTGGGACTGTGCAGGGCATGAACAGTGTGTCCATTACTTTCTGAACTTGCCTTATATTGCTTGAATGCTTCACAGTTATCTGAAAAAGCTTGGAGTCATATATTTAAGTAATGCTGGGCAACATGGGCTTAAAAATTAAACTTAGCTTGTATGATTTCCTTTTTCATTGATGGCTTTCTATATTTCCCTGCAGCATACTTAAATTAACAATTTTTATTTTAAAAAATATGTGCTACAGCACTGGGTACTTTCGTGCTGGGGGTGCCTGCATGACAAGGTTGGAAGAATTTGGCTTGTGGGATGGATCATTGCCTTAGAGGACACAGGTAGCCACTAAATACAGCAGGTGGGAATGCCTCTCCTCCTTCTGTAAGGCAGAATGTTTTTTATTACAAAAATCAGCCTGTTAACATGAAGTTTCTCATTCTCAATTTTAGTCTCCAAACTATTTCTTCTTTAAAATGTAGCCAAAACAGGTTAAACATTTTGTTGCATTTGATTTTATGTTGTTTAGTGCATGCTACTCCAAACTAAAAAAGACGTCCACGTCCCAAGGAACTAATTTGTGTGTTCCAGCCACTGCTGTGGCTGGGGTGCCTAAACCCACTACCACAATGAGGCAGTCATGGACAAAGCTTTGCCTGATTTTAAGGCTTCAGTTATGAAGACAACACAAGGGAATAGCAGTTAGTCCAGGGAAATTCTAGTGTTGAAGTTAGGTAAACAAATGCCAAAGAATATTAAGGCTGATTTTTTTTGTTTATCTTTGAGGACTTTTATAATTTGACTGTGCACAAGCTTTGCCTGGGTCTTCTTTTATAGCATCCAAATATCTCACTAGTATCAGTGCATTTCTCAGGTGGGAAAGGAACATTATTTTCAGTTTATAGAAGTGAAATTGAGAGATGCAGGTTGGTTAAAATAGCTCCCCAAGGCTGCCTATGAAGACTTAGGCTGGAATTTGGACTGTCATCCCACTTGCTGCAAAAACTACCGAGCCATTTTTTGCAGTCTGAATTTCCAGTATTTTCTAAACAAAGAATGTCAGTATTTTCTAAACAAAAGAAAAGAATACAAACCTTGCTTTAAGATGCCAAAGAGATATTGTCTTCTTAGGCAACAGAAACTTGGTTGCCATAGCATGCCAGTTTTTGTTGAGCAAATTTCCATATATCAACCACTGAGAAACTCTCTGTAGCGGATCTGTGGAATATTATAGTCCAGGATCAAAACCAAACCTACTGCGATTTGAAAGGGTCATATTAAGCATTAGGTCTATACTATGTGTTACTTAAAACGTTAATGAAGTATGTAACAGCTGTTAAACTAAAGCCAATAAAAGCAGTGAAGAAGTAACCCTGACATATTACCCAGAAGAGCAAGGAGGAAAACACTCCAGGAAGTATTTCAGTAACAACCCATAGGTGGTAATTAAAGGCACTTAGACACAAAAGAATTTCATCCAGATAGATGCATGGGGAATGTAGCATTTACCAAAAACTTGCTGATAGTGTCTCCTTCAGTAATCTCTGAAGGCCCGGAATCTTCTCTCTTAACTAGGAAGGAGAAGAGTAGCAATGTTTTAATGCTCTAAGAATTGTTGAAGAAATTAAAAATACTTGAAAGATATAATAAGTGTCCATAGATTCGCAGAGAGAAGAAGCAGGCATACAGGGACAGTAATTTTTGTTTGTCAGCAGGCCAAAACCTAAAGGGATTAGCCTGCAGCAAATTAGATTAAATATCAAGGAAAAATATGAATTAGTCATGAAGGGAATTTTTAGAATTAACATTATTGAGACTGAGGCTAAACTTCCTAAAGCACAGCTAGAGATGGTTTAAGGTCAGTTTAAGTCTCCCATCACAAAAAGGGGAGCTTACTAGGAACAGTGCAGCTTACTAGGAACAGGCTCCTCTCACATTCTAGCCATAGGCTGTCTTTTGAACCTCAGCGAGGGTTTTTGTCTCCCTTCTGGAAAGTGACTGGTCGAGTAGCCCTCGATCAGTTTCAGTCCACTTTCTCCTCCTTCATATTTTAGCCCAGTAGCTGTACACTTCTTAAAAGGCTTTCTCATTAGCATCTGAGGAAAAGCAGACCTCTGGAAATGTGCCACTCTCCCTGCCTTGCTGGGGAGGAGGTGGAGATGTTCATTCACAAGGACATGGCATTTTCTGCAAGATGGGTGAGCAGTCACAATCTGAGCTTCTTTAAGACCAGAGTTTTGACGACAAAGCCAAAGCAATACTTACTACGCCGCGAGGAAAGAAACCCAGCCCAGTGACAGAGAAGTGCCACACTGACCATTCCTTTGGGAAGAGCCACATTGCTTCTTCCCAAGCTCTGCGCTTCAACCCTGAGGCGAGTATTGCGTATCTCTGCTGGCAGTGCTGCACTATCACGTGCTCGGCTCCTCGCTGGCAGCGTAACCCCGCCAATTCCGAGCAGAGGGAGATCGCTGTCACCACGCCAAGAGTGTCCTGGTGGGAAAGGGGCGGTGGGCGCCCAGGCTGTCCAGTCCATCCCCCGGGACTGCGGGGCTCCCTGGGCCCGGAGTGCCCTCTAGCGCTGGCAGAGATACCCAGCGAGATACCTGACTTGCCATAAGTACTCCTACTTTGGCCATAAGACATTCCTATTTTACCATAATTTTCCATAAAGCAGCTCAATACAGAAGACACAAAGTGATGGGCAACCCACACTTGCAATACTTGTGACGAATAAACCCAAACCATTTCAATTTATGGATAGAGTTTTATTGTAAATGCAGGTGAAGCCAATGGGAAGAAATTATGATGTCCGACTCAATTCAGAAGGCTGAATGATTTCTTTATTGTAACTATGATAAAATACATTAATATACTATATAAAAGGAGGGTACTAAAACTACATACTACTTTCTCTGACTCTAATACAACTCGTGACCCTCTCCCAAGAGTCCAGACACAGGTGAATCTGATTTGCCATCAGGCTCAAACAATCCTCACCAGAATCCAATCAAGCACTCACTCCAGGTAAACAATTCTCCAAACACATTCCACATAGGAAAAACAAGGAGCAGAAATAGAAATAGTTTTCTCTTTCATTTCTCTCTGTGCACCTCTATGAAAAGTCCTGAGAGGGAGAGAAATGTGCTTGCCACAACAGTTTTATTTAAACTCACTAGAATCTGAAGAGCATATTCACTAATGTGAACAGGGAAGCTTGCTCTTTGTAAGGGTGATGCTGTGCTGCTCAGCAAGTTGTGTACCTGGGACTGTTTGACCTAAGAGAAAACGACTGGCTACATGTGATGCAATCAGATTAAAGCTGAAGAAGGAAAATGTTTTTAGTTCTTGTCTACCCTCACCTCTTTTGTCTTGTATTTTAACTTCCCAGCTGGTGGGAATTTTATTTTTGAAATTACAAATGTGACGCAGCTTTATAATACTGTTTTTTTTCCAGGTGACCTTTGATGCCAAATCTCATATTTTCAATTTCTAGGTCTCCTAAATTCTTATTAGAATTAAGATGAAATTATCTACTTTGCATTAAATCTGCTGCTGGAAAAGTGTTGACAAACCAGCAAGTCTATTAGGGACTGCAGGGCAAAAAACTCATGTGACATGCCAGCTGTGGAACATACCACATCTGCTCTTAGCAAGTCACTCACTCTAAGTCTGGGTTTTCTTTTTGAAGAAGATTCTACTTCCTGTTCTGACTATTGTGGAGATGGACTTGGGCTGTAGGTGAAGATCCTGTTGTGGTTTGACACACAGGAAGATTGGGTTATAAATAGGCTCAAGAAGGTCAATAAAGTAAGTGACATGCCTGTCAAACCCAGATGGGGTCATCAGAGAAAAGCCTGGGTGAGATCTTTTGAGAAAAGCTTTGTATCTCTTCTCAAAAGTTTTGCCAGCACTGAATGCACTGCTCTTTTAATGACTGAGGAAATTATTGACAACATGTCTCCAAGCACTTCTCTGGTAGGATTTTCCCTATTGTGTTATCTTCAAAGTTAGTCAATCCCTGTAATTCCACTTGTCACATTACTCACTGTTGTGAGTTAGGTCTGCTTCTGCAGTAGCCATCATTTACTACTTCAGGTAGTAACTAAAGAACCAAGAAATAGTTATTTAGCAGGGCTACATCAGAGGGAATAAATCACTTATGACTAGGTGAAGACATAATATTTACCCTCCCAGAGAACTTGCTTCCATCTGTGTATTCAGCACCAAAGTCTACCTGTAACATTTTTATGGTTTTGTAAGGAAACATTTTGGGGCATTTGAACAACCTTTAAAAAACCAAATAAACTGTTTTGGATAGTTTTCAAATGTGATATCTCACCACATATTTAATCTCTTTTTACAGCAGAAGATAATTGTCTCAAGAAGATAAGAGCCTCTTGGGGAAGAAGGCCATCAAACTGGTAATAATAATGATGAACATGAATGTGCTATTGCTGAATTAAAATGAATACTCTTTTTCCTATGTTTGAAGTAGATCACTTTAGATTGCTATCTAATCTATTATTGGAATAACAGAGGGAAACTACAGCTTGAGTACCTATGCATGACAGCACTTATGGCGGAGCTGTAATTAACCAAGTAATTTATTAAGGGAAGGGACTTCAGAAAAATGTCTTGGATTAAGTAATGTGAAATACTAAAGCAGCTTCTTAAGGTATTTTTCTTTGGCTTGCTCTAGAGTTTCTTGAACAACTAAAAAACAACTTAAAAAATAAGTGTCAAGAAGTCTACTGTCTTGTGAAACTTGTGAAAAAATAAGAGCTAGGTTGAAGTGATTAAAAAATCAGTTCAGAGATTCCTGATTGAACTGAATATTTTATCTACTTAAAAAAATTGCTTTGACTTTGATTATTTTAAAAATAAATCCCAAAATAGTGTTTCACTTTGACCTTTTTTTCATACTCCTTATGATTTTTTGGCATGGCTACTGACAATAAAGCTGAAGAAGAAAACTAGGGAGGGCTCCAGACTAACTTACTTGGTGTGGCAGAATGATGCCTTTTACAATTGCTTTGCAAATGCTTTTCTTGCAACAGTCTTGTTTATGGGAAATTCTGGAAAAACACCAAAATGACAAAAACAGAAGCTTTGTTCAAGTATTTCCCTTTTATTGAGTGATATCTTCATTAACTGCAGTCAATGCTTGTGTGGAAAGTATGTCAATCTGTAGAGGCGTGTAGGAAAGAAAGGCTGAGATCACTAAATAATTTCTGGGGGCTTTGGGTATGTTCTGTTGATGGCAGTGCTGTAAAAATGTTGATAATTAATAATATTTCCAGAGGAAGAGATTTAAATTGCTCTGTTGTCTTTAGCACATAGTGTCCCTAGATTTCTGCTCATAAAGTTTTTGCTTATGAGCTGGCCCTAAAGCATGTACAGATCAGGCAAGCTTTCTCTAAAATTTCTAATATGCTGCTGCAGACCTAATTTTGTGGATGTTATTTGCTTGTTTTGGACATATGGAGTGCCATGTAAAGTTTGTTTTCTTTCTCTAAAATGATGTGGTTCAGAACTTTAAAAATAGGTGGTATGTAAAGTTTTTCTTCCAAATATAAAGATTTAAAAATGCTGAGCAGTTTCATTTGGTTTTAGAGAGCTCAGTACTTTAGAAAAATCAAATTATTTTTCAGCCTAAATTTAGACACTTGCATTAAAAAGCTCTGATGAGTATTCCAAAGAAATAAGTTAATAGAAATAAATTAATTATCACCCTAACATTTAGCATTAAAGAAAAGTATTTTGAGTAATAAGAAATCTGGTTTAAAAATTCCTACAAATAAAGGTACTTTAAAATATGAAAATTATTATAAACCAGTGTGAAGACCACCTGGAATCATTTCTTGACATAAATAAGTACAACAAAAAGCAAGATGGTAAGAGTGAACCCCAGACAAAGTGGTAAGGCTCAAGTGGTTTTTCCTAAGCAATCTGGAGTTCTTAAAAAATTATGGTTTTGCTCAACAGAATAAAATAGAGGATGAAAAGATGAGAATTCAGAAATATGGGAAACCTAGGAAACACAAATAACCAGAGATAAAGAAGGCCAAATAAAGCTTAAGTCTTCAATAAAGTGAAACCATAAAACCTGCAAGTTTACTGAGCCGTAGCTAAGGAGAATGAGTACAGCAGTATGATGAAAGATTTGTCTCAATATTCACCATGTGAGTTAATAGCAGATATATTATTCTGAAACCTATTCTTTACAAGGAATAAAATTAAAGGATCTTATAAGATGAGGGTGCTGACACATGAAGATACTGAAATAATATTGAGATATTTTTTATCCATATTGTGTTTCATGTGATAAATGATAACTTCTGTATTAGAAAAAAAAAAAAACAAACCACCTTGAATAAGTTAACAGAAATCTAGTAAAGAACAGGATGGCATTTAAGTTGGATTTTCCTTTTAGAAAATTCTTCATTCCTCATTAGAGGTATGACTGAGGATAATAGGTTTTCATGGAAGAAGAGCTGAAGTGCTGCACCATCCTGACTGAAAAACAGGAAACCTCACTAGAGTGGGATTAAATGGTTAAATCTTAGTAAGGGCAAAGGTTATTAGTGAAGTGCCTCTGGCTCCCTCTCTGCATACATGTGTTTAAATGTATATTTTTCTTGAAAAGTAGGTGAACACTGAAATGAAAAAATATGCAGTAGGAAAAATGATCAAGGTTAGCTTGGATAAAAGATGACTGAGAGACCTGGAGGAACAAAAGCAAGCTACAGCATGGTAGAGTGAGAGCTGAGAAATATCCCTGAGTAATGCAAGGTAAAGAACATGGAAAGAATAATTGGAAAAAAAGTAGCTTCAGCTACTCTGGAGAAAGGAAGAACAAAGTGTTATTGCTATTTTAAGTGGAGGTCAAAGTGAAAACAAGTATGTTTGAAGTCTTAAAAGGACCAAAAAGGCCAAACAAACCCAAAACCCTAGGATAAACCAATTCAAGAAATTAAAATCAACTCCCAGTCACAGTTATGAGTGATATTTTACTGCTAGAGAAGTAAGTGGAAGAAAATAACCTGCTGACAACTTTAGTGTTATGAATTTGTATGAAACAAATGAAAACTTGTTTTCATTTGTAGTTATCTTTTTATCACAAGGATGTTAAAGCTGAAGCATCTGCATTAGAACTGTGGTTGTTATGAATTTCACCCAGTGGACCACTGGTCTGGTCCAGCATTATTATTCTTCTGGGAAAGCAAATTGCTAAAACTCAATTGAAAAACACAAAGGCATCCTATGCAAACATGTCATAATTAGAAATGCGTAGGGAAGGTTTATGATAAATATATTGAAAGGTGTGGAAAAATGTATTAATCTGTCACTCATTTTTCATGACAGGATAACATCTTAATTCACTCTTTATCTATTTTTGGACTTAAGTACATGTGTTTAATTGCATTTACCATATCTCTATTGTTTTATGAAACTGCTGTGTTTATAAATAATTGTTTAATTTAATATTTGTAAAGTGTGAGTTTTACAGAAGCACAGCGCCCTGGTAGCTCTCACTAATATTGCCTTATAAAGCAGATAATACAAAGTGCTTTAATTTATTTTTCATGTAATAACCACAAAGCTGTAGGTGTGGAGCCGAGTGCAAAGTCAGTGAGTCAAAGCCCCAGTGATTTGTATCATCTCTCTGTTCAATACTGATCCCTTGCCAGGCTGTTGGCTTTACTTCATGATATGTGGCACAGCAGACAGCACATAACAGAGCTCTTAGTGAATCAGCTTCTACCAGGGGAAAACGTGGGCACAGTTTTGGCCTTGATCTTGCCAATATCACAGTCTTGGCAAGTAAATGTGGGCACTACCTGGCTATCCTCTGAGGCAGCCTTCTGAACAAAAAATGGAGCATAGCTACCAGGGAGTTTGAGAGAGCATTTCAGCTTAAGCAAGAGAGAGCTCACATCTTACTTGTTTTGGTGTTGCAAGAATAAGAGTCACAAGTTAAAAAAGAGAAAATGTAAGCATATGTTGCCACTCTCAGACTTTGGGAAAGCTGGTAGTGCTCTCTGGAGAATCAGTTCCCTTTAGTCCCTTTCATTCCTGCAGGACAGCAGCATCTGGTACCAGTCAGCAGGAAAATGATGCTGCTCTGCTTCTTCACCAGTTGAGAGCAGTGCTCTGTGGGAGGGGGTGAAGATCAGCAGAAGAGGAGCTTGTTTATCTTTACATGTATTTCAGGCTGCAAGTCCACCAGCACAGCAGCATCCACTGGTTTGCATTCCTGTACAGTTTGTCAGAACTTCCAGTGTGCATTTTTTGAACTGATTTCAATTAGTTGGAAGCTCACTGTGTGGGAAACCCAACTCCTCATGAAGTTGAACAATGCCACTTGCAGAAGTCATGTTTTGCAAGAGGTGTTTTGCTTCTAAAATTTTCAGTTTCTGCTTAATATAATATCTAGCACAGTACAAAGGTTTTTATTCTTTTTAGGGCTTAGAGGATAGTCTGTGGGGTATAATGTACTCTTAGCTACCAAAACAAACCACCTCACTGATTCTGAGGAGAAGCTCGTAATAGCACCATTTGTTCAAATACTGAAATAAAAGGAAAGCAGTTAATCTAAGAAGTTCTGACATACAAAAAGCAGTAGCAATAAAAGCTAATTGTCTGTTAGCTCCAGGTATATTTTTATTGAGTGTTTCAATCCTAGCCTAGAGGCATATATTAAGAAAAGGCTCTGCAATTTTCACAGATCAAGCAGCAACCAGAGGAGGCTGCAATCTCATTTCTCTCTTTTCTTTCCTAACCAGCCCATCCCTCCCTCAGCTATCTGAATCTATTTCAAGGAGCTTTTAATGCCTTCATGTAACTACTTCCAAAGCTCTTCTCAGTGGCTGATAACCCACAGTAATAAGGTGATTTCCTCATATCCTCATTTATATCTACTGAAGCACAGATTTAAGGAGGAGGTTACTGTAGCTCATATGAAGAAGGAAGGGGCAGCTCACATGGGTTTGTTTATTTTCAGTGACAGAAAGCATATTTCTCTCAAGGTCGGTAGCATAATCAAGGCTTTAATTAATTATTTAATGTGCTTTGTGTATGGCACACTTTAGACATTTCTTTGGTAGGCAGAGGACCTACAATTTTCTAATCTGCTTTTGTGTCTGATTTTGTTTAATACAGCCTTTATGTCTGGGTATCAAGAAATTAGTTTTTTTTAAGACAAGATACCCCAAGACATCTTCTATCTTCTGTGACTCCATCCAATCTGGGTTTCTGTCATTGGAGCCTCTTCAGGTTTTCCAGTAGTTTCTTTATTCACCCAACAACAACAAAAGCCACAGACTTCAGTGACTTTAAGCTCCAAGCCCTATCTTGAAATATCATGGATTTGGTTTTCATGTATATTTATGCTAATAATTAATAATAAATTGATTATTTA